GCACCTGATATAATCTTGGAACATCCACCAAATCAGGGTCAGTAGGTCTCGCTATTAACCACAGTAATTCCAAACGAGTGGCAACTGCTCCATCAATTTTTGCAACTTCTTGCGCATCTGCCATGTCACTGTCCTCAAACGTTACGAACACCTAAACAAAGGAAGTAAAGAAACCATCAGCTCGTACTTATTCACTAAGAAATGTGACCGAATTATACCTGGAAATATAGTCCAGTCAAGCAAAGTCTTAGAACATGGAGTTCATCCTGCGAGCCGTCCGGCAGCATCTCACGCAGTTGTCGAGTTGGTTTGAAAGATTGCACACCATCATGCCAGGTCCACCCAACAGTCATCATTAGTGATATCTACAATTGCAAAGGACTCTTAAAATCTAATACTATTCCTTAAAAAACGGAAACTCACAGCTAAGCTTAACATATCCACATGGAGCAAATTGATGTTGACTTCTTTCTTGCTTGAAAACAGTTGAGCGAAAGTAGATGACAACAATTTTGCTGGTGAATCAGCAGAAGACGAAAGTGGCCTGGAAAGAGATATCATGCTCTATGCTGCGGCTTGGAAAGCAGCTCATAGAACTTACGAAGGGCTGGTGAAACTGTGCACTGGACTCGTTGTTGCGTTATATTCTGGAGAACGAGGACTAACAGGAACGGCACCTGCGGCGGAGGCTGCCGCTGGCGGTGGTGGAGCGAGCAAAACGCGTAACATATTTGCGGTGAAGTCAGGAAGGAGTTGTATACAGAAAGAAAGCACAGCTGATAAGCGAGCCATAGCCAGAAGGCAATCGCGCTGAAAGACACATTCTTGTACACAGAAAGAAAAGTGTAGATTTTCGAACAAACCTCTCATCACCAAAAAATCTCATTTGAGATATAAAAATGAAAAACGAAAAGAAAGTTCTCTAAAGAAACCAGGGCTAGGTTCCCCTACCTGGCGAGTGTTCATGGCGCAGAAAAGCGGCTTTCCTTCGTTAGCCAGCACAGCGGCAGTAGTTCTTGCTACATGTGCAGCGCTCTTCCACACAGCCAAGGCTGCTGGAGGACTGTGCACGTCATCATGAATCTCCCGGGACTTCGAATCATCCGGTCCACGTAGTCTTCCCTAAAAGTCATTAAGATACGCTTTGGCGAATTTTCATAGCTTATGTTGACAGACCTTATGCAACAGCATGCTGCTAAATACTTTCACCATCTCCTCATATCGCTCATAAGACGGTCCCACACTGAAGTACGTTATAAATGAAACTGTTTGGGTAGAATATATGCACTGAACTAGGTGGAAAACCTACATCTTTCTAAGCAACTTCAGCAAGACCGCCACTCCAGCAGCCGGCAAACCCTTGATGATCCCTCCCAGGAAACCGAAACGCGACGCAGTGCCATCATTGCGACGTTCACGTCTACCTGCCAAATCTGATGACGTGGCCGTCTCATGCGGTGGAGGAGAAGTCGGCTGGAATAGATCAAGGAAATATGCAATAATTTCAAAGTGGAGCCTACGAAAAACCTACTTCCTCTGTGCGCGTTTCCAAATCCTGACCACGCATAATTTCTGTCATTTCGCGGAACAAATCTACAGCTCTTTGCGGGTCTTCGTCATCTATATCTGAATTTACTAAATTGTAGCATATTGATTGAAAAGAATTTCAACTTTTGTTGCTTACAGGCATAAATGTCCTCACCCATGGCAGTACATGAAGCAGTAGACACTGTCGGGGAGACAATATGAGTTGGAGATTTTTGTCCCAAGAGCAACGACATGGTTGACGCAGATGGAACGGATGTAGAAAGTGCGTTATCCAAAGGCATCGTGGAAAGTTCATCTCCTTGTTTGGCAAGTTCCAGAAGCGAACGTTCAGAATGAGACCTGCAAGACTCTTGTTCTAATGGATACTGTAGCCAAGACTTCCCCCTACCTCTTTCTGCTGTGCGACTTCGGCTTCTGCGTAGGAGTTTGCCGCACTGGAGGAGTTTCGAGAAGAGCTTTAACTCTTCCAACCCAACTATCAAAATCTTCTACATCATCACCACGAGCAGTAGAGAAACTATAAGAGATACTGAGCTGAATATACCTAAACCTAAACAACCAGGACCGAATTCACCACATACCCATCAATATCCATCAATTGTAAAGCAGGCAGCAATGGCATGGCGGTGTTTGAAAGACGTTTACAGAGTGGGCAAAGGTACTCACCGACCTAGAAAGGCTTTGATTTATACGAAAAACAGTCAAACATTCAGATGGAAAAGGCACCTCTGGGTCCACCATTTTTTGATTGAAAACCATCTGTTGGCGCGGTCTCTGGCGTTCTCTGCTCAGAAGAGTTTCGGACAAACTGCAACCAGATTAAAATTTGATAAATAAAAAAAAGTTGACCTTTTACAAAATTTGGTTGATAGAACAGAGAATTCATGGAGAGTAGGAAACGATGGAGAAAATGTGGCAATTCAAATCCGAGCTCTACAATACAAGTTTCGCCGCCTTGCTACCATTTTTTTTACCAAATGGCCACCGATAATTTAACAATGCAAGCACTGGAATTTACAGACCTATGGAAACATTCATAGTGCATGGTATGTGAGCATGTGGAAGCATCGATTCCAACAAGTAGGTTGGCGGGTGCCAAATCTCGAAGCTTAGCGTCCGTTTCTGGCTCACCTTGTTGTGCAAAAAGTCTCGACCTCAAAAATAATGTTTACTTCGATGAAAACTGAAGAAAAAAACACAAAAAATCTCGCTCACTTCTGCACATAAGCAGCACAAACGAAAGCCTTCCCGTTGCTAGGAGTCAGAACTTCTTCTTCTTGACAAAGTATGCACGTGACTTTGCGAGGCAAAACCACATCGACACTACTTTTTTGCGGTCCAAGACATACTGGGAAGCCATGATCTTGTTGCTTGCTGGAAAAGCTGTGTAAGCTCAGAAAAAAAGATAACAAACCTCGACCTACCTCACGAAATCCTCATCATCGTCACCGCGAAATTCAGCTGCAACCCCGCCGGTATTTACTTGTTCCGTAATGGACGGATTCTCCGTTTCCATCACTTTCAAGAACGACTTCTGCATTTTCGACATCTGAATATAAAAATTTGCCTTACAAGCCTGTCACCACATTCACTTACCTTCATCATGGCTTGTTCACGCATTTTGGCAGCTCGCGCAGCTCTCTTTGCTCTAGCATCGTCAACGCTTTCATGGCTTTCAACGCTCTCCTTCGGCTTTTCATTTGTCTTTCCAGTCTTTGATAGAAGCTGCACTTCTTTGAACTTCTGCAATCATAGAAGGTTGACATAACAATGTCTCCAATGGCCTAGCTTTTACAATGCTTTTGACAAGTCACAATTTTTTAGATGCTAATAGCAGTGCCGGTCCCAGATTTCTGTTTGGATGGAGAGGGTCCGAAAAAATCTTCGGACAAAGGTGCGTGGCATTAGACGTGCACTCCGAAAAAATTTTTTGGGAAGACCCCCCCCCCAGACTTTTACGAGTCCATAACTCCGAAATTTTGAAAAAAGAAGGCGTAAATGCAGCCACGCTCCTAGAAAATATTTACAAGGCTAAGTTGAATTTTTGAATGACTTCAAAAAATATCTTAGTCATTCCAAAGTATAAGCAAGCCGCATGCACATTTTTATAAATAATGTGATAACCTTTAAAAGAATTCGCAAAATATGGTTGAAGCAGCGCGCTAAGTATGAGCGAAAGTTGAGAATCCAACACAAGATTTTCGAGCCCTCAAAATGTGCGACGGAAAATTTCAAGAGCGCAAAAAGATTTCACCTGCTAGTGCATACTTAAGGTTGTTAATAAACCCCAAAAATAAAAAACGATAAGGAAGGCACCTTCAAAACAAGACTGTATGCAAATGAAAATCGAACAGCAACATACCTGAATTGTCCACCATAGCAAGTCCGCATGAGTGGCAACTTCAGCAGATCCGGACAGCGCCTCCAGTGACCGCAGTAGCTCTTCTTTCTCAGCCACTTCGGTGAAAAGAAATGCTTTAGAATCGCGTGCTTGTTCATGAAGAGCCATCCCAATGAGATAGAGAGCCTAAAGAAAAGCTCTTCATTCCCATAAGAAAAGGACGATGGCTCTTACGAACCCTATGCAACAAGCGGTCACTCGAGAAACGGCTACGCTTTCCGGTTCTGTCCAAAACAAGCTTCAAGATTTTGATGAGACATGGAGTTTTGAGGAGATTCCTAGCAGGAGCGAAGAAAGGCTCGAATTCGCAAGGCACTGGTGGTGGACACGCTTGCAACTTTCTGAAAACAA